GTATTTTAATTAACATCTTATACTAAGTTGATGATTTTATAAAATTTTAATTTTTAAAGGCTTCAAACTTGTAACTATAACTCTTTCTTAATGCTTTCCCCCTTTAACATTTGCATTTTAAATTGACACATAGCGTTTGCACACTTGTGGGGTATGGTATGAGGATTCATTACTTGCATACATTTCATAAGCATTAGATTAGGGTGAATGGCCTGTTTATCCCATTAGATATAAATAATTTTCCTTTTTATTTATTTATTCATTTTTATTTCTATTAATTACAGCTAATTCACTTTGTATACCCCTTGTAGCTTCCTCTCTCCTCCCCTCCCTATCTCACCTTCCCCCCTCTTCTCTACCCACACCCCTCCCCAAGTCCACTGATAGGGGAGGTCTTCCTTTCCTTCCTTCTGATCAAGTCTAACAGTTCTCATCAGGAATGGGTACACTGTTTTCCACTGTGGACTGGTAAGGCTGCTCCCTCCTCAGGGGAGGTGATCAAAGAGCAGGCCAATCAGTTCATGTCAGAGACAGTCTTTGTTCCCATTACTATGGAACCCACTTGGACACTGAACTGCCATGGGATACATCGGTGCAGGGGTTCTAGGTTATCTCCATGAATGGTCCTTGGTTGGAGTATCAGTCTCAGAAAAGACCCCTGAGCCCAGATTTTCTGGTTCTGTTGCTCTCCTTGTGGAGCTCCTGTCCTCTGCTGGTCTTACTATCTCCCCCTTCTTTTATAAGATTCCCTGCACTCTGCCCAAAGTTTGGCTATAAGTCTCAGCATCTGCTTTGATACTCTGCAGGGTAGAGCCTTTCAGAGCACCCCTGTGGTAGGCTCCTGTCCTGTTCCCTGTTTTCTCCTTCTTCTGATGTCCATCCTTTTTCCCTTTCTGAATGGGGATTGAGCATCTTAGCCAGAGTCCTCCTTCTTGATTAGTTTCCTTAGGTGTACAGATTTTAGTATGTTCATCCTATATTATATATCTAATATCCACTTATGAGTGAGTATATACCCTGTGTGCTTTTCTGCTTCTGGAATACCTCACTCAGGATGATCTTTTCTAGTTCCCACCATTTGCCTGCAAATTTCATGATTTCCTTGTTTATCACCCTGCACAAAACTAAAGTCCAAGTGAATTAAAGACCTCAATATAAAACCAGACACACTAAACCTGTTAGAAGAAAAAGTGGGGAAAAGCCTTGAACTCATTGGCACAGGAGACAACTTCCTGAACAGAACACCAACAGCACAGGCTCTAAGAGCAGAAATCAAAAATGGGACCTCATGAAACTGAAAAGCTTCTGTAAAGCAAAAGACATTGTCGTCAGAACAAAATGACTGCCTACAGATTGGGAAAGGATCTTCACCAACCTTCTATCTGACAGAGGATAAATATCCAGAATATATAAAGAACTCAAGAAAGTAAATAGCAACAAATCAATTAATCCAATTAAAAATGGGATAGAGAGCTAAACAGAATTCTCAATAGAGGAATATAGACTGGCAGAGAAACACTTAAAGAAATGCTCAAGTCCTCAGTCATCAAGGAAATGCGAATCAAAACGACCCTGAGATTTCAGCTTACACCCATCAGAATGGCTAAAATGAATAACTCAAGTGACAACACATGCTGGAGAGGATGTGGGGAACCCTCTTCCACTGCTGGTGGGAATGTAAACTTGTACAACCACTCTGGAAATCAATTTGGTGCTTTCTCAGACAATTAAGAATAACGCTTCCTCAAGATCCAGCTATAACACTCCTCAGCATATATCCAAAAGATGCTCAAGTACACAACAAGGACATTTGCTCAACCATGTTTGTAGCAGCTTTATTTGTAATAGCCAGAAGCTGGAAACAGCCCAGAAGCCCCTCGACTGAAGAATGGATGCACAAATTGTGGTACATCTACACAATGGAATATTACTCAGCAATAAATATTTTTTTATGTTAGGAACATGGAAAATCTTCTCTACTAGCTATTTTAAATTATTCAATCAGTTATCATGTGAGCTATTAAACATTAGAAATTATTACTCTTGTCCATCTACACCTGTATCATTAACCATTCCCTCTCCACTTCCCTATCATATTTTTCTCAGTGTTGTCAACAACTATTCTTTTCTCAACTTCTTTGACTTAACTTTCAAAGCTTCATGTATTACCAAGAACCTGTGGCAACTGTCTTTTTGTGTTTTTTACCAAAATTGGAAAGAGTTGCAATACTGATTTGTTGTTACATTTTATTAAAATCCACTATAAAATGAAAAGAAAAATCTGTTGTTATATTTACTTTCTAAATGGTGACATTAAATATAAGGAATAATGAGTGTGGACAAATAAATTTTAATTTAGAAGGTGATCAGAATTTGGAAAAAGAAATGTGAGGATTAATATTCAGTGGGGATGGGAAGACTACAGTCTTTAAATCTTACAGTAGTTAAAGAACAGTCCAAGTACCAACTAGAGTTTTAGCCAAGCCACACTACAGAGAAACATTAGACTGAGCAAAGCACCTTATTAATGTGGACTAATGTGGTCCAATACTAAGGGCCACTTTGCAAGATTCAAACCAGGGAAGGAGGACCTGCTGGGCAGGCTCAGGATTATATACATCTACATATAACTTTCTATGCAAGCTTCTGACATTACATTTTATTTTCTTTAGCAAGTAAGGGGACTGAAGCACAGAGATGTCATGGAAGGCTGAGTACTACCTATCAAAAGCAGCTGTCATCACAGGGGTGACAGGCCTCTCAGTGAATTTCTGGAGGATTCTGCAGCCTCTGTGCATTTCTGTAAGGGATGATGTCGTTGGGGTTAATTCACGTAGGAAGACCCATTTTAACTGTTGGTGGGATAAATGCTCAGGCAGGGATGCTGGCCTCTGCTGAACGGAGGCAGCGAGGTGAGCATGGGCATGCAGCCCTCATCCTGATTGTGGATACTACCTGAGCCTTTTCCTCAAGCTCCTTGACTTCTCTGCCACAATGGCATCGACTTCAAGATGCAGTCGAAAGTAAGCCTTCCTCTTTTAAGGTGTTTTTGTCAGGATGTTACTACAACAAGAGAAAATAAACTAATACCAAAGCGTCTCAGGTTTCATAGTTTGGAATGAGCGGACTTGGGATCCAACCTCGTCCCACATTCTAAAAGTGGGCTTTAATGATTAAATCTCATTTATTTTGTTTATTTTTTTATCTATCTATCTATCTATCTATCTATCTATCTATCTATCTATCTATCTATCTATCTATCTATCTATCTTACAATTTATTCACTTTGTATCCCAGCTGTAGCCCCTTCCTTTGTCCCCTCCCAATCCTTGCCTTCCTCCCTCTTCTCCTCCTATGACCCTACCCAAGTCCACTAATAGGGGAGGTCCTTATTAGGGAACCCACTTGGAGATTGGTCTGTGCAGGGGTTCTAGGTTAGGTCCATGCATGGTCCTTGGTCGGAGTATCAGTCTCAGAAAAGATCTCTGTGCCCAGATTTTTTGGTTCTGTTGTTCTCCTTGTGGAGCTCCTGCCCCCTCTAGGTCTTTCATCTGCCCCTTCTTTCATAAGATTCCCTGCACTCTGCCCAAAGTTGAGTTATGAGTCTCAGCATCTGCTTTGATACACTGCTGGGCAGAATCTTTCAGAGGCCATTTGTGGTAGGCTCTTCTCTCGTTCCCTGTTTTCTCCCTCTTCTGATGTTTACCCCGTTTGCTTTTTTGAATGAGGATTGATCATCTTACCCAGGGTCATCCTTCTTCTTGCTTAGCTTCTTTAAGTGTACAGATTTTAGTATGTTTAACGTATATTTTGTATCTAATATCCACTTATAAGTGTATTCTTTATTGATTCTAATTATGTTTTCATGTCTTGAATCATTTCCTTTTTCTGTTTGAATGTGGATTCCTGTCTTTCCATTATGGCCTCTATTTTTTGTTTGTTTCCTATTTATATGCCTCTACTTGTGCCTCATCATATGCCTCTATTTGTTTGGCTGTATTTGCCTGTATTTCTTTGAGAGCTTTAGAGGATGTAATCAATGTCATGATCAGATAACCTTAAGTGAAAAGCATCACCCTAGATGATCAGGTTTTTTTTTTCAAAAATTTTAAGCTTTATTTATTTTGATGTGTATTTTTATGTGCCTGTGTTATTTTATGTGTACCACATGCATGCAGCTGCCTGCAGAGACCCAAAGCTAAGGGATCACTGGGACTGGAGCTGCAGGTGTTGTGGGCTGCCTGATGTGGGTTCTGGGAATTGAACCTGGTCTACTTACATATATGCTACTAACCACTGAGCGGTCTTTCGAGCCACATCCTAATTAATTTTGATGTAAATATCAGCCAGTTGAACAGTTCGAGAAAACTTTGAGGGCTAAGGCTTTTCTGACAGAAGGCAATGTCTTGTCTCTCCTGCTGGTCTGCCTTTCAGATTTCACTTGCCTCAGTAGCCCCCCAATCACATAGGCTGTACTTACACAGAGCAAAACTCAAGCTACACAAATGCATGCATGTAGTCACATACATATATGAACACAATATATAATCATTAATCTCAGTATGTTCTCACCTACTCAAAAGTACTGTGAACAATAGCCCTTGACTTTTTGAAAGATTTAATAAACTCCAACTATCAGTAAAATGTAATTATATCTCAGGGTACCAGGACACAAAAGGGACGTTGTAAATACTAACATATAACTGACTGGAGGAAGAAACCACAACACATTGCTTCTACCAAGGACATCTTATACAGTGAGACAGACAAAAGTCACCATTAGAAGATAAACAAAAACGTGTGTCCTAAAAATGTGATAGGCCTCTCTTGTCAGATCCAAAGAGGAGGGTTTGAGACCTTCCTTTCACAAGTCACGTATCTGGGTCACGTGAAAATAAAAGCACGTAAGGACAATTTTAAACTCACAATAACTTAAAAAAAAAATCAAACCGCATGTAAACAAACTCATTTCCAGTGTATACCCCGCCTCCCTTCCTTACCTGGACTGCATATCTTGCTGGGGTTTGGCCTGACTGCCTTCTGACTGAGGAGCAGCGTGCGTCACTCGCTGTTGAAGTTCCACCAGGGACTGATAGTACTGCTGCTGATGGTGCTGCTGCTGCTTGTAGCGAGACAAGCTGAAAAACAGCCCTAGAATGGCTTTTAAGTTTCCATTTCTTATTTCTGTATCAAACGGAAAAAATGCAAAACACGGTCACGTGAATTGAATTGATTGTTCTTCCCGTGTGAACCGAAGTCTAGATGTCATTCTCTTAAGCCAGATGTATGAGGCTAAAAATACAAGTTGGTTCCTCTCATTCACAGTTTCAGTTGACTCTGAATTTCTCAGCTCTGCCAACGTTACAAAGTGGCTTCAGATATCACAGAGAGAAGAGCAGCAGAAGGAACAAACCCCACTAAACAAAGATGCTCCATGGGTTGTGTTTTCCTTCTTTTTGGAAGAGGATGTGTTCACTGCCTTGGAGTAACCATTTGATTTTGCACACTGTTTCCCTCCAAAATGCACATAGCTATTGCCCACATAGACTTGGCTATGGAGAAATGATGCTATTTAAATGACCATCATCTTGCACTCACAAATACTAACTTTGTGGGTACATCCCCTAAGATCAAATTGGCTTTACAGAAATCAACATTCTTTCCAAGCTATCATGAGCCAGCCTGGTCACATTTTTGGATGTATATATTTAAAGTATGAACAGGTCTTCAGGAACACATGTCATATCAGTTTTTTAGGTGGAATGCTTTTTTTTTGTTGTTTTTTTACACAATAGTGTTTCTTTTATTTCATGCTATATGCTACTGAATAACACTGATTTTGCTTACATAACCTTAAGGGACTTATTTAATAAATATCAACTGAAGCATATAGGGCTTCTGTATGAGATTTTCCAATGGTGTGTAACAAAACTAGATACACAAATTCAGCTACAACAAAAAAATTAATTTTTAATAATCTTATCTCTAAGTTGAAAACTTCACACAAGCACACAAACTACTTTGACCGTGTCTACACTCATTCTCTTCTTCCAACTGTTGTTGCATAACACCCCACCATGTCCCCATGTCACACTCCTTTTTCTCTTCTGAAGTTATGACTCTATGACCAGGAAAAGTGATGTAAGTTACGCCTAAAAAGAGGCTCCATAAATATGGTCATAGTCTAAATAAAATTAAAAATAAAAACTGCTCCCCTGAGGTGTCACGTCCTCTCCTTCTGGAGCATAAGTACATTAACAAGCTCAGTGGTTTTGCTCACTGATGACTTAGAAGCTAACCCTGGCTATGTAATATAGTTTAATTCATTAAGGGATACCTTGGATTGACCCCCCCTTTTTCAATTCGTATAATTTTTGTACATTTTTTTGACTTTTTTTTCTTTATTAATTACACTTTATTCACTTTGTTTCCCCCCCTGTGGTTCCCTCCCTCCTCCCGTCCCAATCCCTCCCTTCCTCCACCCTCTGCATCCATGCCCTTCCCCAAGTCCACTGATAGGGGCAGACTTCTTTTCCTTTCTTCTGATCCTAGTCAATTAGGTCTCATCAGGAGTGGCTGCGTTGTCTTCTTCTGTGGCCTGGTAATGCTTCTTCCCCCTCAGAGGGAGGTAATTAAAGAGCAGGCCAATCAGTTCATGTCAGAGACAGTCCCTGTTCCTATCACAATGGAATCCACTTGGATACTGAACTGTCATGGGCTACATCTGTGCAGGGGTCTTAGGTTATCTCCATGCATAGTCCAATGAGAAACTATACATTCTTATAATGTCTTAGAGTCATTTTGACCGATGAGCCCACAGTGAGAAAAAAGTGATTTATTTCTCCCTATCAGCTTAAGTGATCCATACAAAAGATTTTTCCACCCCAGTCTTATTATAAGTACACCTAATTTAGAACGCATTTTGACAATGCGTATTTAAAAAAAAAATGAACCAAATAAGTAGTTTTGTATTAATAAACAGTACTGTGTGATACGCGATAGGTATGAAATTAACAATGGAAACATTTCTTGCTTGCTTTTAGTTACTTATACAGCAAAATCCAGTCAGGGAGGAATTTTATTCAAATTCTATTCTATGTAATTGAACTAGTTGTTAGATTTTAATCTCAGCCTGTTAGCCACTGAATAGCTAATTAAATTATACAATATAGTGTTTGTTTCATCCATATATAAAAGCATAATGGAAAATTAAAATATGGAGAAAACTGAGAAAATAAAATAATTTGTTAAATAGCTATTATATTGCAGAAAGTCACAGCCTTTCTATTCCAGTAAAATGAAATTTTAAAAACTTAAAACTGTTCAATATTTGTAATTTTAGTCACAGAAAAACATTTTCAAAGCAAATCAGTTACAGGAAAAATTAAATGTTTAAAGTATTTTCTAGTCTCCATTAAAAAATTAAAGACATTAGCTTCATAATTATTGTCACTAGTGCAGGTTCCAAATTCTTGTAGTTGATTTTACTGTTTTAGGAGTTTTGTGAATATTTCCTAATAATACTGTAAAATCACTTCTTATTTAGAACTAGTAAAAATCCAGTTAGACAAAAACTTTCTTATCTTATAAATATAACTAATAATTATAATATAACTAATCTTATAAATATAACTAGTTGATAAATATAACTAATAATAAAACAAATACACAAATATATGAAGGGAAGGAAAAAATGTGTAGCAATGTTGGGTAATGGGGGAAGAATGGAAGAATGCAGGAATAGAAGCATCATTTCATTTGATTTTGGCAAAAGTTGTGCTATGTATGTTGGAGTTTTGAAAATGTCACCTTTGTATGAGAGAAAGTTTCTGAACACAGAAACAAATGGGGGAAAAAAACAGTTCAAACTTTTTTTAGGTTGGCATATTATAATTTAGTATAATTTAATTTTGATTAAAATTAATTGTCACAACTCTGGTCACCTCCCTCTGAGGGGTACAGCCTTGCCAGACCACAATGCAACCAGTCTGATGAGACCTGATAGGCTAGGGTCAGATGGAAGGCGAGGAGGACCATCCTTATCAGTGGAGTAGGGGAGGGGCACAGAGGGGAAGAGAGAGAGAGAGGATGGGAGTGGGAGGAGACAAGCGAAGGGGACACAGCTCGGATAAAAGTGGAATAAATTGTAATAAATGACAATAATTATAATAAAAAAGATAAAAAATTAATTGTCAGTCTGACATGTAATAGTCTCAACATATTTACAAATAGTACTTAGTAATACTCTCAGTCTAAGCATTTAAGATCTCATTGTCATGTACACAAACTTATATACATTTGACTGTCATTGTTACCTTAATCATATCATAGAAATATTAGTGGTAAAACATTTGTCCATGAATTACATTATTAACAGGTATTTATATACAATTATTATCATGTATATAAATCTATCCATCTATTTACAAAGTTAATAATCTCTGTATTAGTAATAATATATAACTGCTATGTTGATTCATCTCCATCCCCCACATTAACATAAAGAGCAATTCTAGAAAATACAAAAATATCTAAATAATATAATAATACTACTAGCCACCATGTTTGCTCTATGCATCAATAAATTTCCTTCATTATTCACTGAGGAGGTCTGCATGCCAACAATACATTTTAAACACTAACAATACTGTTTCAGAACTCCTGATGCCATTTATGATCATGATACAGTGTCTTACCTTCAGCAGATAGACCTTGAACATTTACTCCTCGGGCTGCTAGAAAACTAAGGCAGACATCAACATTTTCAATCTGCAACATGAAAAACAGTGAAAAGCCCACTTAGAGGATTATTCTTCAGTAAGGACATGAGCGAAACAAGAAAAAAAAAAAAGAAGTAATACTTCACATTCATTTCATTCTAGAGAGAGTTACCAGAGTTTTACTAGAATTATCTTGGCTGAATACAGAGTGACCATAAAGCTTCCATTGTCCATTTTGGTACTTGCAAACAATTGATAAAAGCATAATTAAGAATGGCATTCTTGAATCATAGCAACCCACCTACGTATTACAAGACTAGATCTGTGTTTTACAAATAAGTCTCAATGAAAACATCCATATGAGATGAGACCGCAGCATTATAATTACTAGCATATTAGGATGTGGGATACTGAACTCAGTTAGAAGCTTGATAAAGGAGATGTGTTAGATATAATAAATTAGGCATTTTTTTATTCTAAACCATAGAAAGAATATTCTTTTAAAAGTTGTATTTGCATTCTGACAGCTAAGAAAGCCCGTGGTTAAATGCAACTACCTTTACTATTTTTTAATTACATTCTTATATTAATCACAGTTCATTCATTTTGTATTCCAGCTATAGCCCTCTCCCTCATTCCCTCCTAATCCCACCTTCCTTTCTTCATCTCCTCCCATGCCCCTTTGCAAGTCCACTGATAGGGGAGGTCCTTCTCCCTTTCCATCTGATCATAGCTTATCAGGTCTCATCAGGACTGGCTGCAATGTCCTTCTCTATGGCCTGGCAAGGCTGCTCCATTGATTGTTGAGTGTTTTAATATTCTAAAAATTGTGCATGATAAGTTAAAGAAGACATTTAAAGCTAATATTTATGTTTTATTAACAACTCATCAAAAGGCACACATAAGCACACATAAAGTTCTGCCAGTGTCCTCTATGGCTCAGTATCAAAGGAAGGCTGACATGTGTCTGCAAAAATAACAATATATTCAATAGTTAATCTATACAAATGTGCATACTACATTCTTTCTTTAGTATAATGTTGTGCATGAGGAAATCTAAGTCATAGCATAGAATGAGCTATTTTTTTCTCGCTCAGAAATAAAGTCAAGGCATACACATTTGCTTTGGAAAAATTTATATTGATAAAATAGCACTATTGAAAGTATTTCATTATAAAAATAATAGAGCTGAAAAGACGATCAAAGAGTGACCTAATACATATCATTCCATCCTCAACATCTGAGTCTTAAGGAAGGTTATGTACATCAGAACCTTTCTCAGGCTATTTCCTATTAGAAAACCGAAGAAATAAGAAAAGAAAAAAGGTCTAGAGCAGATGGATTTATAGGTAAGAACACTTCCAGTGCACACATGAAGACTAAGTTCAAATCTTCAGGACCCAAGTAAAACATTGAATGTGATCATGACAACTGCAATCCCAGTGCTGGGGTCAGGCAGAGGTGGATACAGAAGGGTCATAGAGACATACCTTCTGTTGGCCAAACTCCTGGGGCAGAGAGACTATCTCAGGGTAATGAACTGGTGAGTGATACAGGTCATCTGCCTTCCTTCCTTTAGTTTGACTGAAGGCATCAAGATATACTTGTTGAGACTCCATCACTCACATTTATTTGGGTGTTTTTAAAATATGGTAGTGTGTGTGTGTGTGTGTGTGTGTGTGTGTGTGTGTGTGTGTGTGTG